ACACCACAATACGTCCTTGAACTGGGGGAAATCGGTGGGTCTGATACAGGTGGAAGCACCCTGGTTCACGGACGCGTTTGACTCTTCACGGTCAAATAAGACCGTGAACAGAGCAATCTATCCATGAACAACAGTGAAAAAAGGGTACCTCTGAAAAAATTTACTATCATTCACAACACAATTCCAAACACACAACCAAATTCACAAAAAGGATACCACACGACCACTTGAACTCTTCACTCAACACAAAAATGAAAATAAGGAAAAGAAAACAAACCTACGTTGGTTGCCTCCCAACAAGCGCTAAGTTAACGTCACTAGTTTAACGTTACGTATCTATCACGCCTTGGAACGTGATGCCGTAGAGAGTGGATCCGCCATGATCTCGGGGTGAGGCATGTTGCCTCCCAACTTGCTCTCCATGGGTTGGCCTTCTTGGCCGATGACTTTCGCTTTGCCCTTTTCCTTCCTCCGGGCATTAGCATGACTTATCCTTTCCCTCCAAGCTCTTTTCCTTCCTTGTTTGGGTGAGATGCCCTCTTTGCTTTCCTGCTTCACTCATCACAAGGAACAATAGTAATAGTGGGGTTCACCTTGCAATACTCTCCTCTAACTGCATTGATATCACCCGGTTCCACTTTCTTCACATCCTCACTCATAGGCTTAGGTTCAATTCCAAGAGTAATTCTCTCCTCACCATCCCTCAGAATCAAAGTTCCCTCATTTACATCAATTAATGCCTTTGCGGTGTCAAGGGAAGGGCATCCTAGTATGAGTGGCTCTTTTCCTCCATAGAAAGTCGCTATCCGAAATTGCTCCTATGGTGAGGACATTGAAGGAAGTAGTCGGAGAATCTTTACCATGCATCCCTCAATGTCTCATCCTCCTCTTTCTCAAAGTGAGTGATCTTCTTTCTCCACTCGGCCTTCTTGGAATGAGGACAATATTGGGTCATGAACTTGTTGAGTAAATCGTCCCAAGAGGTGATGGATCGAGCCGAACGGTTGTTGAGCCATCGGATAGATTTTCCCCCCAAAGAATAGGGGAAAAGCCTCAATTGCAATGCCTCCTCGGGGACACCATTTATCTTCAAGCTTCCCACAAGCTCAAGAAACCTTTGAACATGCTCTTGTGGTGATTCATTGGCAAGCCCGTGGAAGAAGGCGTTGTTTTGAATCATGGTCACAAAAGCGGGCTTGATTTCAAAGTTGTTGGCAGCCATGGGTGGATGTAGGATGGGAGATTGGATATCTGTCGCCCGTGGAGCCATGTAATAGCCTATAGTCATTTGCTCTTCCTCGGCTCCCGCTTTCTCATTTGGATTTTGAAGCAAATTAGCACCTCGATGATGATTCCCCGCCATCTCAACTTCTCCTTCAATTCCTTCAAATACGGGACCAACTTGATGTCCCCTCTCTTCAATTCTCCTTCTTGCCTCCGCTAGCTCACTCTCTCGAGATAAAAGCCGGAGAGTCTGGTTGATGTCCTCGTCAAGTGGTGTTAAAGGCGTCGGATTGCTCCAGGTCATGCACCTCCCTACACGGTCTGTGGTTCCTGTTAGCGACCGTGAACACCCTTGGCGTCAGTAACCTCAAAACCCCCTCTGGATGCCTTGCAGTTCAGGGGTTGTGTTTCCAGTTCATGGTCCTGGAGATCGTTACCCCAATGTTGGACCGTGAACACAAGTTGAATCCTCCTCTTTGCCCGGTCTTTGCTCCTTTTCTTCCAACTTTCGACTCTGGGGTTGGTTCCACCAGTTAGACTCTGACAAACACTGAAACACAAGAAACACCTAGCGTAAAACCATCCCTTTTGGAGCTCAATTGCCACAAACGTCAAAGAGAAACATGGATAAAATGTGTGCAATTAGGCCCAAATCAGTAGAATGAAGAAAGATGAGTGGGAAATTATTGATCGAGCTATCTAGTGGTTGACGGAATACAGAAGGCTATAATTACAACCAAATACCTCACGCATGCAGAGGATAGTTAGACGGGAGCCATCGGGAAGGGGCCTATTCACGATATATGTCGATGCAACAACTTTTGACGACAGCGGGTCAGGTGTTGGAGTGGTAATCTCGGATGAGGATGGCAATATCTGTCTAGCGAAGTTGAGGAGGACTAGAAGACCATGGCGGTCGAAGATTGCAGAAGCGGAGGCGGTGAAGTTTGGATTGGAGCTTGCTCGGAGGTATCATTTCTTCTATGGGGTTGTTGAGTCTGACTGTCTATTGCTTATCTAGGGAGTGGAGAAGGAATATAAAGCTGAATATGAGTTGGCTGATGCGTGTAGCGAAATTCGAACCCAGGCTGAAGAAGTAGGTGGGCTTCGTGATGACTCGATATTTGCACATGTTTTGTCCACCATTCTTATACTGTTTGAGGCTCGTTTCTTGTCTTTTAACCCGATTTCACGCTAGGTTGTTCTTTTTAGTGATATTTCAGGTTCTGGTGTGTGAATGAAGGCTTTGGGAACAAGTTCGGGGTCGATTGGATGAAGTTAAGACATTCGACGGGAAGCCGAGGAAATTACACGACCAACCCATAATCCCACACGACCGTGCGTGTTGGTCATGGACCGTGGTTTGCGTGACCAGGGGTCTCACTTGCAGTGCAAAAGTGTGCCCAGCCCGTGCGGGTTGTCCAAATATATTTACGGGCAAGTTGTCGTTTTACACGGTCGTACGCTGGCTGTTTGTCTCCTACGAGTCACTAATTGGAGCGCTGCGTTTTGGGTTTACACGGGCACGTCATCGTTTTACATGGCTGTGCTTCCTGGCCGTGTAATCATGAAAAGCTGGGTTTTAACCCAATTTCGGGTTTCGAAGAGGGGAGTTGAGTTTTAGAGCTTAAAACAGAGGTTTAGATACAGAAAGTGACGAACACAACCTCAAATGTGTCCTAGATTGATCTTTGACACCATTGGATCTTAATTGAAGCCTAGAGAAGCATAGATTGACATCCAGAAGTTGAATTCCATCCTCCACATGATGATTTCTGCATCTGAAGCTGATTTCTCTTCTCTCTCTATGGAGTAAACTACCTCTCTCAACTAGGTATGAAGAACCCTAGATTTGTACATTAGGCTTGAATGTATAAACCCAAGTACATGACCTTTTGTATGAATCTTGATCGCATTTTTGTAGTTTTTGCTTTAACCTAGAAAGAGAATATATTCATAGGTTGATAGACCATCCTTGATTGAAGGTGGTGAATTGGCTACTTTAGTCGAGAAGTCAATTCACTACTCTGTATTGGATTTTATCCAGTAGAGGAGGTTTTGCATGTTAGGGCATCAGTTCGTTTACTTCGGTGGAGGTTAGTCGCCCACCGGGTATTCAGACTGGGAGGGTATGAACACCTTTAGTCGAGACTTCAAACTGAATAAGAACCTCCGCAGTATAACTATCGTTATATGTGAACTTGGTGAAGTACAACCGACTTAACTGCAATCTAGGGGGAACCATATCTCAATGACCTCTCTCAAACTTGAATCACAACTTTACTGCTTTGTGTTTGCTTAGATGAGTTACAATTTTACTACACTTAAACATCTAGATGACGAGAACTTCACGGAGTAGTCATCACATCTAGGACCCGTGTTGACAAATAAAGCTAAACCCGCTGTACTACACATTAGTTCGTGGTTACACTTGGCCACTTTCTAGTGTGACGGTATCGGCGAGTCACTCAGTTTTCATTTTGCGGGCCGGGAAGTTAATAGAGTGACCATTTAATGGAACATACTCTGTGTCATTGAGAGGGGGAGTAAGTTTGTTCTGCAAGACCACCTATATTTCTAATTCCTATCCTAATTCACACATTTTGAGACATTAATTAATGATACAGATATTACAATAAAAAAACTATAAACTCGAATTATTCTCTCGTTGATAACTTGATATACTAAATATTCATGAGACCATACTAGAGATCAGGCTAACCTCCAGAACCCTTGTTATAAAAAAAGAAGAGAGATATTCTTGAGCTTACCTTTCCATAGTCCATATATATCGTGAAAATGCATTAATCCTGCCCTCCTTACCAAACAAACATGGACACATGATTATCATATATTTGATTGTTTATATAATAATAATGTCCATCTCCCCAATCTCACACCTCCCACTTCTCACAATCATTCCCACAACAGAGCACAGTTCACCTTTCTATGCGGTTTTAACAAACCCAACATAAAAATTCCCTTCCTCCTCACATTCCAGCACCCCCTATCACTCTTTGAAACCCACATCCAAAATTTGCTCCTCCTTCTCTTCTCATCTCCAGCCATGTCTGTCACAGGCCTCTCATCATCATCATCATCATCACAATCAAAACTCTTCCACAAACCAATTCACCATCGAACTGAGTCCGATGAGCTCGATATATTTGAAGCCGCCAAATACTTCTCGGGCTACAACGAACCAACTACTCACTACTACATCACAAGCAAAAACAGAGCATCCCTCGGCAGAGCACCCTCTGGCACCCGAAGAATGAGCTTAGACATGCCAATGGAAAACATGAACAGTAACAAATTGCAAATCGTGAAGGAAAATAAGTTCGTTAGCAGCAACACAAAGCCACACAAGCAGCCCAACTCGCCAGGAGGGAAGCTATCCAACTTCTTAAATACTCCGTTCCACCAAGCGGCAGGGGGTTACAAGAAGAAGCCACCAAATTCGGACGGAGGCGGCGAGAGCCCATGTGGAGGCGAAGCGAGGAAGAAGAGGAGGAGCTGACAGAGAAGAAATGCAGAAGTGTAGCAATCCTCACTGGTTGGGGATTGTGATGGATGTAGACGGCGTCGTTGCAGAAGAAAGGAGAAGAATCAATGCAGGAGAACTAAAGAGAACAACATCGTTTTAGTCTAGTTCAGTTAACCGTTAATTCACTGTTTATTTAAATTAAGAACCAATCATGTTACAGAGGTAGTGACGCGTGACAGCCTCACGCGTCGGGAACTAGAAATACAAAAACTAAAAGAAACTGAAAATACTGGGGTTTATTCTTCTTCGATAAATAAAACGTAAGGATTAAGTACATATTTATAGGACGCATCCCATAAACCCTCTCCCCCTCAAACATGGTAACCTAAACCGAGTCCAACTCCTAAACGATTTACTTCCTAAACAGAATAATAATAATCCAAAATAACCCTAAACAAAACGAATGAATATCCAAAATAGACACAATAATAATTATGCTAAGATAATAGACCAGCCAATGATGCGTGAATGCATCAATCCTCCCCCCTTCGAAGAACTTCGTCCCCGAAGTTCAAGCGACATCTCATCCCGGTTCAAAGGGGAAGTAGCATCCTCGCATCCTGCGGTAAATGACGACAAGAGTTGGACCATGATCTTCGCGCTTTCGGTACTTCCATTTACATCTTGGTACCATACGTATCCAGTAACAAATCATAGCGCCCTCAACTCCTGCTCTGTCGAAAGGAAATCCGAGTCCACCGTTTTCATGCTCTTTCCAAATGCTTCTAACCTTGTGTAACCATCTCGAGACCCACTCACCTGGCAACCCTTCCCTAGCAGCGGACAACAGTCCCTCAATAAAAGGATCTTGATAATCACCATCCTTTTCACTAAGCTGCCAATTTGGGCCAGGCACCCATAACCACCCCAAACTTCCTCCATCCATCATATCAATATTAGTTCTTACCTTCACAGGTACGTAACCAATATTGGAAGAGAAAATTTCATTGTAGGCTATATGAGTTACCGTAGAGCAAACGTGTGACAGTGGTGATGAGATTGTTGTATGGATGGGCGGCTGGCCGATCGATTCCACAAATGTAGTAGCCGGTGTGGCAAAAATATTCACCACGATACCCTCCTCATTAGCAGCTATCACTTCGACTTGCCGCCGCAGCGGCGCCACGGTAGGAGCGACGGGTGGATCAGCAGTCGACATGGCTGACGGCAGTGGCGGCGACGTGTTCGACGGTGGCAGTGGCGTGGTAGCAGACGCTGTTGGTACGTTGCCGACGATGGAAACAGCAGCGGCGGGCGGATGGTTTCCTTCTATGGCAGCAGCGGTGACAGGAACAGCTTCTGGCAGTTGCGGCGTGGCCGGAACTCCGGCGGTTGCAGCGGCGATAGGGAAAGCTCGATAGGCTTTGACGAGGGCCTCCACCTTCTCGCAGTGCCTGTCGAAGGATTTTTACAACTCCTGAAGTGTTTGCAAGACGCAATCCAGCCAGGGTTCATCGAGAGGTTGTTGTGTCGGCCAGCAGACTCCGAAGTGACCTCCATCAAAGGGGTCGGCAGCAGGGTACGAGGTCGTAACGTCCAGCGACGTTGGCCCTGGGAACTTTGGCGGCGGTTGATAGGATGGGGTCAGAAACGATTGGGTGGACTGCGGAGGGAATCGTGATTGGCAGTTGGATGAAGATCGACGGCGAACAATATTTTCAAACCGTTCTTCTTCCTCCAGAAGATCAAGAAGCTCTTGCTCTTCTAGCATGTCGCGTATAAACTGATATCTATCAGGCATAGCGAATTTCAGCAGTATTGGCGGTGTAGATGTTGCTCACAGGACCTCTTCCCAACGTTGGTGGTTGAACGTTGGCGATACCTGCCCTGGGAGCTGCAGCAGCGAGCTCGGTTCTCTCGAACCGGGCTCTGATACCAATTGACGCGTGACAGCCTCACGCGTCGGGAACTAGAAATACAAAAAATAAAAGAAACTGAAAATACTGAGGTTTATTCTTCTTCGATAAATAAAACGTAAGGATTAAGTACATATTTATAGGACACATCCCATAAACCCTCTCCCCCTCAAACATGGTAACCTAAACCGAGTCCAACTCCTAAACGATTTACTTCCTAAACAGAATAATAATAATCCAAAATAACCCTAAACAAAACGAATGAATATCCAAAATAGACACAATAATAATTATGCTAAGATAATAGACCAGCCAATGATGCGTGAATGCATCAGGTAGCTATAAAAGCTACAGAGAGCTCAGAATACCACTGAGCTTTTCCTCCAAATTCCTTTCTTCTTTACAATTTCTACATGGTATCAGAGCAACCCAGACCCTAGGGTTTGAGTCTGCACAGCAACAATGTCGGGTGAGCAGTCGACTCCGCCGCCTGGCAGTCAAGGAAGAGGCAACAACAACAGTGGTGCTTCTACTCTCAGTGGAGTTCAATTTGGCTCCTTTGGTCAACAACAACAGTAGCAAACAGAGGTCATCACGCTTGGTAACCCATTCTATCTCAATTCAAACGAAAATATGGCTCAATCTCTGGTAGCCGAGTTGTTTGATGGTACAAACTACACAATGTGGAGTAGATCTATGCAAGTGGTACTTAAAACGAAGAACAAACTTGGTTTTCTAGATGGGTCAGTTGCAATGCCTTCTAGGGATTCAGATATATTTGGCATTTGGGATGCTTGTAATACTGTAGTCGTATGCTGGATCCAAAACTCCATGACCAAAGAACTGCGAAGGGCAGTGTTGAATCACAGTAATTGTAAGGCACTTTGGGAAGACCTGAAGAGGCGTTTTGGACAACCGAATGCCATGAGAATTGCTAACCTGGAGGATGATATCTTGGCTTGTAAACAGGGAACTAAGTCAATTAATCAGTATTACACTGAGATAAAGGGATTATGGGATGAGTATGTCGAATTTTGTCCTATGGTTCCATGTGCTTGTGCTCCAGGTTCGACCATTCCTTGTGCTGCAGTAGCTGTTTTTGTCCAAAAGCAGGAGACAGATTATTTGATTCGCTTTCTGAGAGGAATCAATCCAGAATTTGAAGTCATCAAAACCCAGCTGTTGATGCAAAAACCTCTACCCAGTGTTTCTGAAGCGGTTGATGACCTGCTCCAGCATGAACAGAAATTGAAGGCAGATGCAGTGACTGGAAGTGGAAAGAAGAACCAGTCATTGGCTCTAGCTGCAGGAAGTCAGCAACAACAGAGGGGTTCTGCAGAAACAAGTCAGGGCAAGAAGTATTGTCGTTACTGCAAACGAACAAATCACAACATTGATGAGTGTTGGTGGTTGAAGAAGAAGCAGGGAGAACAACAGAAAGATGGGCATTCAAATTCCAGTTCGAGTTCCAGTTCTAGTACTCCAAGATTTGCTGGTTCTGTTGCTCAGGGTACTGGAAGTGCAACTGGTAATCATCATCCTGAAGGTAATACAACTACTGAAGGTATGAGCCAAACTCCATTTACTTTCACTGCAGAAGAAATGGCCCGTCTCAGGAACCTGCTGCAAATTGGTACTAATGCATACCCATCATCTCCTACTTCCCCATCCATCAACCACCAAGCCTTTACAGCCACACAACACCCTACACCATTCCCTAACTTCTCAAGTAAACATGTCACCTTTTCTTCTCACCTAGATCAAACATGTGATTACAACCTGTGGATAATAGACACAGGGGCCTCAGATCACATAGCCTGTTCCATTACCATGTTTACTTCTTATAGAGAAGTTAAGGATACTTATGTTTATTTACCTAACAAAACCATAGTCATTGTAACTTGTATAGGCACAGTCAAACTACCTACTGGCCTATCACTTTATGATGTTCTCTTAGTCCCTACCTTTTCCTTCAATCTTATCTCAGTTAGTAAACTGACCAATGACCACCCCATTTCCTTACTATTTCAATCTGATCACTGTGAACTCCAGGACCTTCTAAGCCAGAGGAAGATTGGTTTGGCAAGAGAATGTAGAGGCCTCTACCAGCTGGTTCTTCCTCAAAGTCCTACCCCTTTCTCTTCACCAACTTTTCACCAAGCTGCCTCAGCCTTCAACTACCAACCACAAGACCTACACCTATGGCATTGGCGATTAGGACACCCTAGTCATGATAGATTGTCTTTGCTTTCCAAAATCATTCCTGATGTAACTAAACAGAAACCATTACACTGTGATGTCTGCCATTTATCCAAACAACACAAACTACCTTTTCCTATTAGTACCAATGTAGCACCTGAGATGTTTCATTTGCTGCATATGGATATTTGGGGACCTTTATCAGTTGTTTCCTATGATGGTTATCAGTATTTTCTTACAATAGTGGATGATTATTCTCGTTGTGTTTGGATATATCTGATGAGGCACAAGAGTGAAGTAAGGGGCTTGATTCAAGGTTTTTGCAATTTGGTTAAGAACCAATTTGGTACCACAGTTAAATCTATTCGGAGTGATCAGGGTAAAGAGTTTCAAATGAGTGATTACTTCTCACAAGAAGGAATAGAACATCAGGTTTCTTGTGTGGAAACCCCTGAACAGAATGGGAGGGTAGAGCGAAAGCACCAACACATTCTTAATGTGGCCAGGGCTTTGAAATTTCAATCTGGTTTACCCTTACAGTATTGGAGTGAATGTGTTTTACATGCTGTCTACTTAATCAATCGCACACCAACTCCAGTTCTGCAAAACAAATCACCAGTTGAAGTTCTTTTTCAAAAACCTGCTTCCTTGGCTCACTTAAGAGTGTTTGGCAGTCTGTGTTATGCTTCCACCCTTGCTCATGGGAGAGCCAAATTTTCTCCCAGGGCCAAACAATGCTCAAGGGTTATAAGGTTATGGATATCCATACCAAACAAGTTTTCCTGTCTAGGGATGTAATTTTCTATGAGAAAATACTCCATTTCCACTGTCCTGATGTCAATACCACTTCAGATGCTTCTACTTCTGTTCCAACAACTCCACAGGTGGTATCATCACCTGCTCCTGGTCTACATATCCCTACTCCTCAGTTTCATCCATCCATCGATGAAAGGGGGGAACCTGAGTCTGAATGTCACACTAATGACCAGTCCCCTGCAAGTATCCCAACAGGTTCTCAGAATCAGCATGAGCAATATGACTACTTTGATTCAGATGACCAGGAGTTGCTGCAGCAAGCTGATGTTGACTGTGAGAACCTAGGAGATCAAGTGGTAGAGGACAGACCTCGAAGAAAAATCACACTTCCAAGTAAGTACAAGGATTATGAACTAGATTCAAGCATTTCCTTTGGTCACTGTGGGAAATCAAACTCTTGCAGTAGACATCCTTTATGTCTGAATGTGGATAGCTTGGGCCATGATGATAGATCTTTTGCACTAGATATCATGAACCTAGTAGAACCTAGTTCATATTATGAAGCAATCAAGTCTGATGCATGAAATAGGGCTGTGAACTCAGAGTTACATGCCTTGGAGGAAAACCAGACATGGGATGTTGTCCCATTACCTCCAAATGTCAAAGAAATAGGAAACAAATGGGTCTTTAAGTACAAATTCAAGCCTGATGGATCCCTAGAAAGAGAAAAGGCCAGGTTGGTGGCCAAGGGCTACACTCAGGTCTATGGGATAGACTTCTTGGACACAGACTCCCCAGTAGCTAAGATAAACACAGTAAAAACCTTCCTAGCAGTTGCAAGCTTGAGAAACTGGACTTTGGAACAAATGGATGTATCTAATGCATTCTTACATAGAGATCTGGATGAGGTAGTTTATATGAAGATACCACTTGGACTGAAAGTAAATTCAACAGGAAACCAAAAGATGACTTGCAGGTTGAAGAAGTCATTGTATGGGCTGAAACAGACATCCAGACAATGGTTTGCAAAGCTTACCAGTTTTCTGTTGAAGTTAGGTTTCTCTCAGTCAGTGTCTGATTATTCTCTTTTCACTAAGTGGACACATGGAAGGATCACTGTGATATTGGTGTATGTTGATGACATCTTAGTTGGGGGTGATGCACAGAAAGACATAGACCAAGTGAAGACAGCACTGAGCAAAGAATTTAAGTTGAAACTCCTAGGACCATTGAAGTATTTTCTTGGCCTAGAAGTTAACAGGGATCAGAAGGGCTTGAATGTGTGTCAAAGAAAGAACTGTGTGGACTTATTGAAGGACACAGGTTATTTGGAAGCAAAGGGGTGTAAAACTCCAATTGATGCAAAAGTGAAGTTGAGTTCTAAGGGAACTCCACTGAAGGATGGTGAAGCATAAAGAAGGTTAGTTGGCAGGTTACATTATCTCACAATCACAAGGCCAGACATAGTATTTGCAGTGCAACAGCTCTGTCAATACCAAAGGAACCCTTGTGAGGAGCATATGCAGGCTGCTTATCGAGTGCTAAGGTACTTGAAGTCTTCACCAGACCAGGGAATACATTTTAGCAACACAGCAGAGGAAAGGGTAATTGGATTCAGTGATTCAGACTGGGCAAGCTGCCCAGACACCAGGCGTTCCATTACAAGGTACTGTACCTTCCTTGGCTCCTCCCTCCTTACTTGGAAAACGAAGAAGCAAACAACAGTTTCAAGATCTTCATCTGAAGCTGAATACAGAGCCTTGGCATACCTGGTTTGTGAAATTGAGTGGTTAAAGAGGTTGCTTTCTGAGTTGACAGTGCAGGTACCACTTCCTATCCTTGTATACTGTGATAACAGATCTGCTATTCACATAGCAGAAAACCCTGTTTTCCATGAAAGGACCAAACACATCGAGATAGACATTCATGTTACAAGGGATAGGATTAAAGCTGGTTTGATAAAGTTGCAGCATGTGGGAACAGCAGAACAGTTAGCTGACATATTTACAAAAGGCTTGGATCGATTCAGAATGAGAGAAATCATGAGCAAGTTGGGGATCACAGGTGCACCACCAACTTGAAGGGGGGTGACAGAGAAGAAATGCAGAAGTGTAGCAATCCTCACTGGTTGCGGATTGTGATGGATGAAGACAGCGTCGTTGCAGAAGAAAGGAGAAGAATCAATGCAGGAGAACTAAAGAGAACGACAGCGTTTTAGTCTAGTTCAGTTAGCCGTTAATTCACTGTTTATTTAAATTAAGAACCAATCATGTTACAGAGGTAGCTATAAAAGCTACAGAGAGCTCAGAATACCACTGAGCTTTTCCTCCAAATTCCTTTCTTCTTTACAATTTCTACAGGAGCAGCATAAGCTATTT